CTTTTCGGTAACTGTTCAAGTAATTTTGGTGCTGCCTGTACCTGTAAGTAACTGAAAACTTACGAAAAACATTTCCACCCTCATTTTATTTATAAAAAACACAGCGGTACCTGATAAAATGATTCTATAAGACTCTCGGATTTAGTCGATAGCTTTTAGTCTAACGAGAATGGTTCTAAATCGTCATCGTCAATAGAAGCTTATCTAAGTTACAAAGCATCTACAGAACCTTTTAAATATTGATACATAAATGTATGAGATTGACAAGAATAAAACATGGATCATGTCGTGATTTTTTAAATTCAAAAGATGTATTCCGTTTATAAGGTTCAATTTTAAGGCTAACTTCACAATGTTAGAAATGCGCTTATATTAAACTTAGGGTCAGTCTACATTGCCGCGGAACGAATGAAAGTTAAGTTTTTTAGCAAAGTAGTAAAAGGCACCGCGCAAACGTGTGTCTTGTGTTGGATACAAGCAACCGGCAACTAGAAGCAAGTGTTCTATTTTCATACAAATAGCTGTTGCGGCACAGTCGCAGGACTGTGTCCGACTGCCGCAACCGGCGACTGTGTAAATTTCAAATCAATTGTACCGAAATAGAATATTCGCTTCTAATTGTCGGTTGTTTGTATCTAACACAGACACACATTTGCGCGGCGCCTAACGTAAAAATTAGATACGAGCCAAAAAGCAGGTCGCACCTCGTGTAGTCGTGGGAATTCCCACAGCTACCGTCTCGTATCCAGTTTGTACGTTAGGCGGTAGGCCGAGACGTCAACAGCATAAAGTTGATAACGACTTCAAAACTCACTTCAAAGTCAAGTGTCGATGTGAACGATAGTCCGAGAATCAACTTCATTCCAGACGTCATTTTATACTGAGCTAGGCGCGCGGTGACAACTGCCTGAAATTAATGTCGACTGCATCCATTCCGTTTCATCTGCATGGAGCAGTTGACATATAAGCTCTACAGTTGATCAATATGGTATGTAGAATATCGTTACAAAAACTCGTTAGCATGCCGTTACGCAGCAAAGCAAATTGAACCTTACAGTCGTATCGCATCGCGTATTGCGTTGAATTTCTTCATGATAGTCAAGTTACGTAAGAAAGTCTAAACCCAGCCTAACGGCTAAAGGACGTTTTTTGTCGGTCGACTTGTCAATACTAAGAGTAAGCATAATCGACGCGATTAGTATCAAACAAAAAGAATCTAATCTGATCAAATTTAGTGCAAAAGAAAAGCACCGCAGATTGTCCTGTCACTACAAAACTCTGTTTTAACAATTTTTTGTACCTAATTAACTACCCTATTTTTTCTAACTTTCATAAATATTTCTCTTTACACACTACGTGGTATAACATGTTCTTATAATATTAAAAACAGATATAATATCGTTCCTCTGCTAACTAACCGCTTTATCTGATATTTTTATTGTAATTGAGACGTACGTCCTTACTCGGCTTCCAAAGGCAAAATTATCTACTAATCGTCGTATAAATTTTTACAAATGACTCGTTTTCATTTTTAGAACGCCTTTCACAGTACGTGGAAAACACGAAAATGCGTTGCCTTGATTCATTTATATTATGCTAGGTACAAGAGTAAGTCAGAAGAGGGACAATATGTCATAATAATATATAGGAAGACTATAACTAATAAAAATAGAACATTAATAACAAAAATGGTAACTAATTAATACTAAAGTTTCTTCATACTTCGTGTCTTGTTTTGTAAATATTTTGTACCTCATTTGGAATGTAATAGTTTACAGTACACATGTACTCACCCCTTAATAATTTCATATTTTTGGCCATTTATAATAACTATTTATAATAGCTAGTATGCTTTCTTCATATTTGAAATGTAGAAAAGAATTTGGTATAAAAGGTAATAAAATACTTCTGTGCATTTTATGTTACGCAGATGTTGCTCTGCACGCGTATCTACTCATCACGTGTATCAACCGCATAAGGTTTATGCAGACATTTTAAAAATCACGCGTGGGTGTCAGAAAGCGAGATGATGTGTTGTCACTATAAATAATAGTAAATAAATGACGCACACACTCAACATACACTGCAAACAGCACAGACTATAGTAATAGTAGACTATACCCTATAAATAGATACGTATGCGGACCAAATCCGTGTTCTTGCAAAAAGGCGATGAAATAAATAGAACTGGGTTACATTAAAACATTTTTCATTGCATTCTGTTTAGCCTACTAAATTAATTGAAATAAAATTCTGTGTCATAACAAAGTGCATTAATAATTATGCGCATTCTCTATTAATTTGTTTAGTCTTTTTGCTACATTTATGGCGCGAAGATAAAAAATAAATGAAAAGAACATCAGCATAACATTAGGTCGGCGTTAATGTGATGTCGTACAGCTGCACAAGGGTGAAAACCCACTTACTAGCATCCGTCAGCGCCGCGCCCATACTTAAAGTTCAGATAATGTGTGCGCACAATCACACCAAATACTTGGTCTCAAACATAGGAGTCATCTTTACTATGAGTGCCGTAATAATAAATTGCACTCAAAAGCAAGTTATGTACAAAAAAAGTGTGAATGAAGTTGACTTTGATCATAAGCTCGTATCAACCATAAGATAGCATCTATTGAGTTAGAATAGAATGACATTGGCATATAAGGGTTATGCTGTATACTGTATAATAATTTATATATTTTGGGGCAAAGTACTGAAGAAACTGATTGGACGGATGTAATTATTACTCGCATGGTGCTCGATTTTCTATTGTATTTTGACAATATAAATGTCCTAACTTAAAAAAAAATTAACAAAAACGTATATAATACATTAACTATATGAATATATAAAGACAATCATTATTATCATAATGCGCGTCGTTTTAGCAAAAATAAATTAAAGTATCGAGCCTCCCTTAAGGATCAAGTTGGTATAAGTAACTCTCTCGTGACTTTCATAGTAAGGTTACAAAAAGTTAAAATAATACACTTTAAAGCACATATCTGAATAACAACGTTTCGAATAGTGAATTCGAAAGCAGTGAAAGTATTCGTATTAAAAACATTTGGTATAAAATTCATTATTGGTTATAAAATATATGTCAACTGACATTATAGGAAATGGAATGTTAGTCAAATATGTGGTATAACCAGAAATATAAGATACTATAATAGCAGTTTACTGCGGTTTTCAAGGTCACGTTTTTCTTCCCAGTCTGCCACTGGAGATTGCTAGGGCAGTTTATTGTCATATTGTTTAGTTAATCTCCTATACTTCTGGCTGATGAGTCGTTATAAAAGTCAAATTAGCTTACAGGCATTTTCGTTATACTAAAGCCGCGTACAAAGGCTATAGGCAAAGTAGCACTGCAATATTATAGCTTGTGAAAATTATTGTCATCCTCTTTACAGCACAGTCTCACTTTATACTTAATAGTAACAATTATGTGTAACAAAGGAATTCCCTATACTACAACCAAAGATATAGACTAGAACAAATTTAAAAAGATTATTTCCTAAATTTGTCCTACCGGGAATCGAACCCGGAACTTCCTCATCCAGTGACCACATTGCAAAGGCCACCGATATCGTCAAAATCTTACTTATATATTTTTATGGAACTCACTTGAAAGTTATCAACAATTTTGTCATTATATAGTTGTTTAAAGTTATACAGCAACTTTGTACATAAATGTTTTCGCAAACGTAAACATAATGCGATTAACACAACCGTACAAATCAAGCAAAAGCATTGTCGTTCCTTTTAAGTATATTATTTATCATCATTCACAATAACTTGTTTATTATATTTGCTTATGAAGTATTCTGAATATTTTTAATCACTTTAGGTTGTGATTACATTTGCCTACAGCCTTTGCATGGTGTAATAAAGAAAAACAATACTCATCATTGCGAGCATATCCAATGTTTCTAGCAATAGCGGTCAAGTGTGGTCCGATGCAAGGTTTCATGCTAGCGCCGTGTCATTTAAACGAGAAAACAATGGGGCACCCGAAAAAGTTGAAAACACCTAAAATGAAAACAGAAACGTGATATATATTGCAATCAAACAATACACTTTATCCTGAGAAGTTTCACGCCTTTATGATGAAGAAAGTTTATAAAGAAAAAGAGTGATTATGTTAAGAAAATATAGTAAATTCTATAAAGCGACATAAAGAAAATCTAGCGCGAAACCTCCCAGTACACTGCGAAACAAGAACATGCAATGAGTTTCATTTAAATAATAACGAAATAAGCTATTTAATGAAAGAATACATGCACGTAATCAGCTAAATTTTCCTATATGCTTCAAATGCCAATCTTACCCATACGTAACATTACGGTTTATCGTGCCCTAGTTCCGTAATAATATGAAATTCATTTTAGATTAAATACTAAATAATCTCTTTGAAAGAGATATGTGATGTAAACAACAATTATGAACGAATGCGCGCGAATAATTAATGCAGATATTTTTAATTTTCATGTTAAGATATGCTCTACTTCTGCACTATATCATGTATATATATTTTAAATCACCTACTTTAACGATTTTTTAAATAATTTCTAAGCCCAATATTAGTATTAGAACACCAATTTATGAATTACATAATTTGAAGGCTAAGGTAGACTAGCGTTAGACAGCTATTTGTTAGTGAAATTCAAACGTGAAGCGTTAGTCTAATCACTATTGAATTTGTTTTAGTAACGCCTAATGTAATGTACAGGACCAAGGGCACGTCAAGCTTGAAATTTAAATTTAACTCTGTGCGTTTACGATACGAACCGTTGAATCTCGCTAAACGACAAATTTGATGTGCTCTTGGCTGTACAATGCAATTTCCAATCATGAAAAATGAAACTATAATGATGACAGAATGCAAACCAAAAAGTGCAAGTTAGATAAAATAAAATTACCCATCTTTTGATCAAAGCTACGTGATGTCAGTGACCCTCGAGAAACATAATCTGCACTCAAGAAATAAAAACAAACCACGAATCAGAAGAATATACTTATTTATTTATATGAACTTCGACTATATTGTATTTACAACACAAAATTGTGATGATTTTGTGACAACACTATCTTAACAAAAATAGAACATTGTAGCTTTCTAATTAGGACAATGTGAACATTATATATGTATTTCTATGTTATATAAATCTACTCTATTTCAATTCTTGTACCTCAGTTTAACATTTCAATTTTATATATTGTCCAGGAAGTAATTGGATAAATTTATAATTTAATTTGATTTGATCAATTAATTATAAAAAAAAGGTGTAGTTAATACTACACTGAATATTATAATTTTATAGTCATAGACTAGTGATACACATTAACTTACGATTATAAGGTAGATAGAAGGCGCAAATACTTAGTGATATTTGTATCAAAGTGCGGAGTTCACCACCAAGCAACCCTTTTTGTTAGTGCATGGTCACAAAATTGATCTTAAACAATTCAACCCAAGATGTTAGTGAAAAATAATGATTATTAAAAAGTAAGAATTACTATCATGGTAATATTAGTTATTATTTAGTACCTCGGCGTTTATTCGTATATATGTATATATTAAATTAAATAACACTAAATTAGAACATAAATATAGTTCAAAATTGGGGTTCGCAACTTGGCGTTGAAAGTTTGTGGAATTCTTTAAGCTAAAAGGAATGTACCATATAGTAATGTCTAAATAATTCTAACTAGCGATAGGTACCCTAAAATCTATTTTTTTTTCTTAATGCATTTTATAAACGCTTAATTTTTGGTAATAAGAAAAATTGAGTTATATCAGGATTGGTTCAAGAATTTTGTTCTTAAGTTTAAATGTGAGCTGATAAAGAAAGCCTTATTTTAGTGGGTATTATTAAACAATACGCATATAAGTAACATTTAGTATCAAAACCTGTGATAGTAAATATGTTTGATAAGTTGTCACAAAACTATTTTCAAAAGTGGACAGAAATAACATCGAAGCAGGAAGGCGCAGGTGGTCGGATAGCAGGCAAAATTCGTTGTAAGAATTATTACGATTGCATAGATTTACCGATAAGAAAAAGTGCAGCGACAAATCGGACAAGGAATGGGAAAACTATTGCTTTGAACAAGTAAATACCAAGTGCCTGACACGTTATATAAGTTTAAGGAGAGAATATTAAGAAAGATTTTAAGAACTATGAACATCATGAAGCTTATTTTCATAGCTTTTAAGTACAAGTTGATACTAAATATATTTTATATTTGCTTATTGCTCAAACGAATGCCCAGATTAACCTATTAATTTACGAAGCTAATTCTGATAATACAAAAATAAAGTAGTAAACATCTTTCATTATTAAAATATGTATCCACCATTTTACGAATATAATACACTGTGCTGTTACTAAGAAGTTTTCCCATAGTCTTAGACTTAATTAAATTAAAGCTTGAGTTTTCTGTCAACTGTCAATGTATGCCTGAAGGTCGATTTCTAAATATTGCACTGGTAAAAATGTAACGCACTTTCTGAGCTCCTTCATGTACGTACACGAAATAGAAAACCTATATAGTGACGCTAATAGAATACGCTTATACCATTGAAGCAACACAAATATCAACTTCATATGAACTCTCCGAACAATATAAAATAATATAATATGAAAAAGTCAAATAAATGCTATACTACCTTATTTGATTCAGGGAACATTTTACTCAACGTTGCCTTACCTTTGGTGATGTTCAATTTTTGGTGATATCAATATTGGAATGTAAAGTTTCACATCGCATTACGTTAATAAAATTAACCTTTCTTAGGAACTGATTTCGAAATAAATATGTGGAAAAATAAAAATTTGAGTGTAAAAAGTCAAAAAATGCTTGACCATTTTTAGCTCGAGTCATAAATGCAACAGAACATAATAATGGACCGCAAGATGTATGGATAACTGACGCGTTCGCAAAACAACGGGAAATTTCAGGCGCAATACTTTTTTGTTTATCACAAAATGTTGAATGCCGCGCGACGCATATTCTTAGGATATGGTAGTGTAAAATTTACTTGACTTCTTATTACCTGGCGAGCTAGTGGCCACAGATTGTTCAACTTTTTTACGCTCAAATTTGAGTGGTTGCTTGAGATTGACATTGTTCGACTCTGCTATCGCTGCCACCCGTTCGAGCACACTGCTTATTGCCAAGCGCGCCTGAGGATTCACTGTTAGGCAACCACCTGAGGACAAACAAACACGTATATTAATGTCGATGTGGAGAATGAACGAAAGAAGAGTGTTAAAACAGATTTATAGCGAATGTGAGCGGGGAAGTCCATAAGGGCCGACCAAGTCTAAATTACCACGACAAACTCAGGACATCCTAAAGAGAGGCCAGGTCATGTATAACTAATTTAAAAGTATAAATAAAATTAAGCTATTCACTGACAGCCTGTATACTACAATCTCAACGAATTTTTCAGCGTGTGTATGTGATAGCATTGATACGTGTGGATAGGGCGAAAAATGTGCGTCAGGATCGTAGCAAGTGGAAGGCTGTGGTCTCAGCATATTCCGATAGAAAAGGGCGTTAAGCCTTCGTTTGTGTGTATGTAACATCAAAAGGAAAAGAAAAGAAAAACTAATGAGACAAAAAGAGCGAACAAAGTGAAAGAGAGAGACTAGTAGAGAGTACAGTAGATTTATTAATAGTTTTAATAGGAACGTTATCAGCAATCGTCACACTCTGACAAATTATCTATTTTCCCTGAAAAATTAATCGCTCAATATTCCTATTAATAAATCAATGCATTTGTGCAATATAGAAGAATACTCGAGACCTTCACCCACACATAAACATTGTACTGTATTGCCAACATCCCGTCTTAAAGTACTACACTTTATTCGCCATTCTTGCCTTGTTAAATCAATTGCTCAACAATATGTTCCATTATTCAATCACGACAGATTGAATTTGCAACGAAGTCTGACACATAAAGTGACCATATATAAAATTGCAAGAATCGTAACTCAGAAACTGCGTGATTCTCTGTTGCGACTATTCCGGTATTTTCCCGCAGGTGTCTATATTCAATAAAGTCGTTGTCACTTGTGCCTCACTCGGAACGAAAAAGGGTTTTATCAAAATAGATTTACATACATATTCGGAAACATGAACAAAAGATCAATCGACCTATTTTCATTTGTAGAAATATATCTCAATTATTGTTGAATAACAAAGGGCAAGTTCAAAGGGCACAACTGACAGCAATAATCAGATTTTTTACTATAAAAAGTCATATTTGACGTTTATTATGTTAAAAACACTAATATTATAGTATTTTACTTAGCAATGTATGGAATTGTGCCCTTATTATATAGTTCAATAACAATATAATAACACGAAAAAGGCACAACTGAATACAATTGTGCTCTTTAATTCCATTCATGAGTCAAGTGTTAAAAGTCACATTTAAATTAATTATGCCCTTTATATGCAGTAATTTTTTTTTCCACAAGTCAATAGATAAATTGATGGTATTTTTTAAAACGGCTGATTAAAATACAATAAAAATTTCTGTACAAAACATGTGGTATGTATTTAGAACATAAATAAACTACTAATATTAAATGTACTTTTTATCAGAAAAAAGTAACAAGTATTTCAACACATTTATCTCCGAATTTAGAGTCCGCTACTTGTGCCTTTCTTTTTTCCGAAAGCAGTGTGTATCAAAGTACAATGAGTAAAATACTTTGAAAGATTAAACTCTTTTTGGATCATATAAATACTTCTACCAGTTTCCAAAAAACACATTGAATAATATTTAAATGAATGATTGATTGTACATACAAAAACCGTAATTGTACATACAAACTTAGTGAAGCAGGTAGGATGTACAAATTAGCATTCTGTTACGGATATTTTACCATCAATTATAGCAATTAGCACCAATTGAATAGTTAAATAACATTCGTAAGTATAAAGTAAACTACATCTATTCATAGTATATGTAGTTGGATTGGATTAAATGCTCTCTAACTATAGGAGCACTTAAGGGTTAAAATTGCTAGGCAATATAACATATCTACCATATGAATAATGAAATTTGCTCCTTATGTACAGGAGATATTTAATAGTACATTTTAAGACATGTGGGTGTTATTAGTTAACTACACACATCAAAAGTATCCAGGGATAAAGCACGTTTTTGCTATTTACTGAATAACAGCTTTTTCAATGTTTTTTTAACATCACAGAATTTATTTTCAATTTCATTTTTAAATTCAAATTATAAAATTAACCAAAAAATTTCCATCTGTGTTAAAAAAAATTAAAAACACTCATTTGATCCCTAAACACTTTTGATGCGTGTATATGTTAACAGCTTTTCAATAGTACACACAAATCTTATAATACGATAGAATAAAAGTCTCGAATATTTGGGCTTTATGGGTAAATTTTATTGCACACCAGTGTAGTAATTTAAAAAACTTACTTATAATCTCATGGAAGCATTTGAATCGTTGATCGTTGGGGTTCAAATTGTAGTTCCCATTCAATATAGCCAATTTCGCGGAGTCTTCAAATGGGTGTTGCATATAACACAGTGTATACAATATACAACCCAAAGCCCAGATGTCGACGTAATGGTCTATTTTTCTGTTGTCCCATGTGTCTAACATTTCTGGTGCTCTATACATGGGTGTTGTGAACTGAGCCAGCTGAAAACAAATTAATGTTACCGTATTATACAGAACGCATAAGGTCAATGACTTTAATTGCCTCTGTATGTTTTTCTCCAGGGTGTCGCGGAAAACGTTTGAGTAATAAACTTAGGTATTATCGCTTTACTGGGAACTCTGTCTGTCTGCCAAGCAGAGCGCTTTTTCAGTTTTTGTTTACGACGTTACAAGCGTGACAATTGAGGCAAATCTTTCGTAATATATACATGTAAAA